GTTATATATATGAGGTACTAGGTTCAAATCCTTCCTTTTGCATTATTTTGCAATTATGTAATTCTGCCACGTGTCACAATTTGCCACCTGATCGCTTTATATTAAGAAAACTACTATAGTAAATAAAAAAGTTATTTAAAATTAAAATAATAAAGAGTTTTTTCTAATCTACATGTATAAATGTACAAATAACTATTGTCTATCACCTCAAATTTACACATAAAATTAATAAGAACAAAAAACTAACAAGCGCTTAACAACTCAGTTCGATTACTTCGATAAGTATATTTTTAGAAGGTTTATATTTAGTTATATTAATTATATAATTTTAGTTTATTAGTTTCTTTTATATTTATTAGTACGTGTCACAACTTAGTTATTATTCATATTATTTCTTAAATTTAATATTTTTTTAAAATATTATAATCTTGTTCTTTCACATGTTCTTAACTGTAGATTTGTCAAAAAAGACATAATATAAAGTATAGAATTTTTTCGATCATCTGCCTCATCATATATCAAATATTTATATATCCTATATTATATTATATTTAATTACAATTTTTAATTAAATATTTACAATTCATAAATTCATTAATAAGATTGTCGAGTCAACTTTTGTTCATAAAATATTTAAAAATATATTATTTTCATTGATTTGCTTATGTTGAATTGAGAAAAGTTATGTTTTTTAATTATATATAGGGAGGATATAAGATTTCTTATATTTTTATGTAGTATTTATTGAGTAATTGTGTTTACAATTTTTCTGTTAAAAATATATTAAACACGTGAACTTTTTAATTCCTATAATTTTTTTTTTTCAGAAATCACTCATAATTTTATCTCAAGATTACCTATTAATTTACCAATTGAGTTACATTTCTTACATATTAAATATTATATAATTAAAATATTTTTTGTTTTATCTGTTCAATATGATACTTATATATTATATTAAAAAAACTAATATAGTAAATAAAAATATTATTTTAAATTAAAATAATAAAGATTTTATTTAATCTACATGTATAAATGTACAAATAACTATTGTCTATCACCTCAAATTTACAA